GAACAAGTTAATGATTGTGTAGATTTACTGGTGATCAAACAAAGAGAGCATACAAGTGAGACTAGAGAATATAATTGCTTCTGGATGCAATAGGTTTTTACAAAGCAGAGAAGAAGAAAACAAACATGTATACCCCTAACCACTGCCCCATCAAGCTTAGTGCAAATTCACTTTTACAGGATCTCACAGTTCACATGGATTGCAGCAAGTACTCAGCAACTATATTTAGCTACCGGCAAGAATTATTTGATCCATCCAAAATGGATTATGCATAATTCAAAAAGTTGAAGATGTAATCTCATTAATTTGAACCTTCCTTGAGTCATAAACCCTTTTTTCCCCCTTTGGAGTTGTAAACTTGTCAAGTCATAAAATGTGAAGCAAGCATGAGAAACGATGCAAACTAGTGTTTAAATCAAATAAATGGTAAAGAGTGAACAGAATTAGACATATACATTGATTTCAGCAAATCTTGTTAAGCAACCAGAGGCAGTTAGAGTAAAATTTCTGTATAAAATTTCTATTTTTTAAGATCCATGAGCAGAATATATAAAATTTCTATTTTTTACTTTACAGTAAGCAGAGCTTGTAAGCAGTACAATACTCACAAAGACAATAAGATTCACAATAATGTAAAGCCTCAAAAGGACATCGGAACCACATTAAGGATAATAAATAGAGCAACTTACATCAGGGCGATTTGGGAGTGCAATTTGTGACTGCCCGTAAAAGTACCCTATACCACCAAGCAGATTGGCAAGTGCAGCCTTACCCACTGTCACAGATCCAGAATCAAGCTGAGGAGACCAAATGAAAGTTTCAGAAACACTTCAAGAAATGCATTATTGCTTTCAAACTGAAAAAGGACAACATGAAGGATGACTCATTTCAACTGCAAAAATAGTCACATAGAGCCAATAATCCTTTGGCGTAGACAATCTTAGCACCCAAAATGATTTGTGAACTTACAATTTTCTTAGTTGAAATGGCTCAGATGAATTTGTTGTATCACACTGCACACTGGCTGTACAATCATCCAATAACTACATTGATGGCCTTGGAAGCATGATTTGAACATTGATATACACATGCATATAATTTGGCATCAATAAACTCTGTGGAAGAGAATACAGCCAATGACTTCGCATTTTATTGAATGAATCTCTATGAAATGATAGTTCACATCCTACATCATCTGTATTTTATTTCTAAAAGATGATTACAGTGATTGACATGCCAAAGCACAAGTTTTATCTAACCCCACTAGCTAGCAACTCTAAGTAATCCTGCAGCATACATTTCATGTAATGCATAGAATAATCTAAGATGAGAAGTCAAGGATAGAATATGTAGGATAGGGCCGTTGTAGCCCACATTATCATGCTTGGAAACTGGTCTAAAAGAGATTAAGTACTCATCTAAGTTCAAAAGATTATGAAGCCCAAGGATAAACTGGTCGTTACCTCATCACCAAGATTGAAGCACCTTTCGAATTTGTCAGCATAGTCTTTTTGCTTCTCACTCAATTTATTGGTCAATGAGGCACCTACAAAGAGTAAGGAAGGAGTCGGCAAAGATTTAAATGTTCAGGTTAAGCTAAGCTTAACAACCACCCTGAACAGGGAGAGGACATAAAGCATCTAAAGTTTGTGTTGTTAACCAGATTTAAGTTAACAAACTTAAGAACAGTAAATAATTGCTCAAGATCAAATTCATCAGTTTTGCCTGAATACCTTCCTTGAAGGTATCCCATACTTCACTCAGATTATGCAAATTTCAGCACCATATTTTTTCTATATATTATCCAAGAACACTTCTTTTTCTTTTGAAGTGCAGATAATAAAAGGTCGACAGCGGAAGGCACCTGCAAGACTGATGGCACGCTCTTTTTGCGCAAGAGTTCCAGACTGGAAAATGATATCTGCCTTGAAAGGTATCCTACCAGAGAGCTGAATACACAAAAGTCGTTACTAAAATTGCAAATACAAAGAGAGACTTGAGCTGAAGTCTTATTTGACAGACTGAAGAAGCAGGAGCTCATGAGATTGCTGAAATAAACCTGAAACACTAAGATGTTTGATGACCCTTCTGATGTATCTGAAAGCTGCAAGCGACCCACCTTCCTTGCCTGAAAAGTAGACAAAAACAACTTTAAGAAAGGCAGAGGAGTTACATATCATACTCAACAGCGGTGCAAAAGCCACCAAATGCTGTAAAAGTCACTACAAGCATTCTTGCATCAAAGCTATTAACAAGGCCGAGACAGAAAACTAGGGAGGACAAACTCATGTACTTGGATCCCAAGATTTGATTGGACAAGATCAGATAAATTATGGACAAAAGGTGTCTTGAACCCAGAATAGTGAAATTCAAATTCATCCTGCAAAAAAAACAAAAAAAAAAGCGAACAAACACACTCACAGTGAGATACAGAAATCCTGGACACAACTGAAAAACTATCCCATAGCTTCAATAAAATTTATGTGCACTGTAATCCTCCTATTCTGGACACCAGCAAACATTCCATGTGGCATCATACTGTAACTTAAAAGATGTGAAAATACTAGAAGTTTTTTATCAATTAAGATTTATATTAATTTTTCAGTATCATACCTCAGTACTTAAAAGTAGCTGCCAATTGCCAACATCACTCCGATATCCAGATGCTAGGATAGATTCATCATCTACATCTGTGGCTCTGCTACCCAAATTTAGTGCATTTCCACTTTCATCATCCATATAGAAGAACAGATGCACAGTTTTTGACATTTCCTCACTAAGGTTTACTCTGTCAACAATTTCAAAGCTGTTAGAGAAGAAAGAAATCACAGGACATGAAAGATGAGCATAGCATCTAAGATGCTATAGCTTATTAGCAATGAGAAGTAATTTCAGCAAGTTTTGTTTTCTGAGGTCTAGAGCATGTCCTTGACAAATGTGATAACCTCCAAAAGAAAGTTTTGCACTAAGTAGTTTCATGCTCAACATTCCAGATGCACCCACTATATTATATGTTCCTCAGCATCAAAGTTAAGCATGCATCCAACAAGCAAAGACATTCTCACATAAATATTAACAATATAACTGGTTCAGCAGTTGCTTAATGAGAGAAAGGAGACTCGCAAAAACGCAATCAGACGAATTCAAGATTTTACATGATAACAATAAAATATTGATCAAAGAGTGTACAGAGAAATTACTAGACAATTAAGTGACACATTCACGTCAATAAAATTCCATCCAATACTTACTTTTGAAAGAATAGCATTTGGGAAGACTTTCAGTTTCTAGGCTTATACACTAAAAGCAACCAACTGCCTTTTGGTTTTAAGAAAGTGGCCATAAAATTTAAGTTAACGGGGATTACTCATCATTTTCCACTTCAATTCGGACAGCCCAGTCTCCACCATAGCTGCTCCCATGCTCCTTGGACTTGAGGAAACTTGTTTTCAAGGTCATATCTTGGTCAACCAAAATTTGATGTCCATAATCCCGTCCATTATGCTCTGTCCATCCATATGTCCTAAGCTCATCTGAATCTTGGCAGATGTGTCGCATGGCATACCTTCCATTCGTAATACCAATCCACATCAAACCAGCAATCAAAGACTGTGGGGTCCTACCAATAAACACCAAAAAGTACATGATTATGTCAATCCCAGTCCACACTGTGCATGTTTCATAAAGCATCATAAGGCACACTAGAATTCCATCAGAAAAACTATACAACATATTGGGGAGTCCTTCTGGTTCCATTGAGGCTGAAAGATGAACCAAGATACTCAATATATGAACTAAGCCCAGCTCGATAAGTGCTCACTGAGACTAAAACATCGAAGGATCAAACCAAGTCTGCAGTGTTCTTTTTAAGGTCTAGAACTCAGCTTGAGCTCAGTTCCATGAGTCAACTAGACGTTATACATATTAATAAATGAAGGTAATCAAGCTGGCCTTCGAAAACAACAGCATTTGGCTCGATTAGATTCCTTTAGACCCTACTTTTCATTCTACCACATAAAATTGCACGCCAAAAGCAGCAATTTTTCTTGACATTCCAGAGCAGAATGTGAGAAGGAGTCGATACCGTGCACGAATCCCAAAATAAACGTTAGGTCTATAGGTTCCCCAATACAAGCTCTCCTTGTGCTCCCCTTGAAACTGCCAGGAAAAAGGAAAAATCATCCTCGTAGCTGAATTTAATTTATTAGGATACATAAAACAAAGTGGAAAACTGAAATTATACTAAATTAAAGAACAAATATTCACCATGGGAAGTTCCATGAGTTTGGGAGCGGGAAATGGCGTGATAACCCTGGGCTTTTCCGGCTCTTCATTAGTATTTACCAATCGGAAAATGAAAAAGAGGGCGATCGAGGAGAACAGGATTCCAAACCCAAGGAAAACTTTGCTGCTCACGTTTGTAATTCGAATGAGGCTTTGGTCTCTGCCTCTATAACTTCGAGGTCTAGCGTTCGTACTTACTCTGTGGACTGACTCATCACCAACGGCGTCTGCGGAGGGCTTGCCTCTACTCCGAGTGCTGCTTCGCGTTGAACTGCCGGCCATTTTCCGGTGTGGGTTTATTGCTGATTCTGATTTCTGGGGAGGTTTTGCGCAGAGTGCGCCTGCGACTGATGCACAAGAAGCAGGACGGTGGACTTGGACTGGGACAAGGCCCGTAGTGTTATTGAAAATCTGGGTTGATGTATCTTAAAGTCCATATCTGAAACCTATAAACCTGCCTTGATCCTGGGCTATAGCTATGAAAATCCTCAAACTTTGGGCCACGGATGTTAAAGACCAGGACAGTAGACTTGGACTGGGCCGAGCTGTCTCAGGTGATCTCTCAGTTTTTTTTTTTTTTGGTGGTATAATTGTTACTAAAAAACATATAGGGTCTGTTTCGATTGGGCAGTTTTTTGACTAGTTGAAAAATTGTAGTAAAAAACTACTAGTAGTATATGTAGTCAAAAAACAACTCGTTAGTCAACGCATTGTTTTGAAATGTCTACAGTGGTGGTTTTGGGGTACGATATTATTGTTTTGGCTCGGAAGTAAGAAAACCATTGCTGTTTCTACGGAACTCTTCATTCCTTTTCCTCAAACCGAATTTCAACTTGCAGGTGCTCATATGTGGAACCTACCTGTCGACATCTGAAAGCTTTTCTTCCCGAGCAAATTCGTCCTACTTTTTTCGTTCCAAAGCTGCTTGTGGTAATTTTGGGCAGCTGCCATTAAAAAACTTGCCCGAAGCTTACTCTCGTTAGCTTCAACGGAGACACCTTCAGTGAGCTGTTCTGTTCCAGGTAGCTACAAGAAAATCGGACACACGGCTTGCGCAGGGGGCAGGTGGTCTTCTTCCTCTCGCTGTGCTTCCAATAAGCTCATTTAATTGGCTTTGTGCTATAGAAATTGGCAGAGAGGTGCGCTTTGTTTAGCAGATCCCCATTTTTTTTATTGGAGGTAAATAATGAATTTGGTACACTTCCGTACGAATTAGGGCTGAATTTTTAACTTGGAAATTTTGGCTTTCTATTACAATTCCTGCAGCTAAGCTATGAACAATTGGTGTATTTTGATAACTGGAACGCAGATAAATCTTGTCAACTTGGGTTTATGGCATCAGTACCATTTACGTAGCTAATCGCATTTGAGTAATTGAACTTTAATTGTTATTGTTGCTGCTTCTATTCTGTGCGATTGGTGGTGATTAGGTGTTTCTCATGGATATACTCTCCGGCAGCTTGTTTTTCAAAATGCTCAGCGTGTTTTTGTTTTTTGTGTGGTTCCATTTGTTTGCTTCAGCGTGTTTTTCAAAATGCTCAGCGTGTTTACTTCATCCGAGACAACGTACCCAATGATATGTTCTTCAATGAAGAAGTAGCGCTCGGTGCCTTAGCAGATGCCGGGGATCCAGGGGACTTCGTTCAGGGCAGTCAAAATTTCGATACGTCGCAGCGGGGCATACATAACTACTAACTAGAACGAAAATCGGCGGCAATACTCTATTGTTACGATACCACTTCATTTAAATTTATGAATGATAAACCCACTGTCTATCTATTCTTTACATATTATTGTTATTTGCATACTGAGCATGCCATGGCCAAACAAGGGTATATTTATACATGCAAGATTGCATTGTTTAGGCCAATATCATCCAATCATTTTTGCCGAGAGCTATAACGCCAATTTCCATATGGCATGTTGGGTAGACACAAGTTTACCGGCGAATGCATTTTATGCCGATATGAAAGTGTAGTTATTTATGAAATACAGATCAATCTAAACGCAGAAGTTTTTGAAAACAATGAATTTTTCACAAACTGCCTATCCTATCCAAACGAAATCATCTGTATTTGAAAAAAAGTTACAGTAAATTTTTTAAAAAACATCCCCAAAATACCCACGTCAATTTAGACAAATATACTTTGCTGAATCTTTGGAGAACCACAATAGCATGGTTATTTTTGCATCCGAGCGGACACTAGCTAATCCACTAGGTTTCACTCGACTCAACCCCCCGGATTTGTTCAACCAAAAGCAACCCAAAAGTGAAATTCATTTTTGGGGGATGTGATTTTCAGCTGCTGAAGCGTACAAACGGCAAGCATGGATAATCATTCAACCCGATAATATAAGTTCCCAAAACAAAAACAAAAAAAAAAAACAATACTCGTAAGCCATCCTAAACGTCTTTTGAAAGAACAGCATTATAAGAAACCTTTCTATGAGTCGGAAACATGAAAATTAACTTACTACAAGAATATGGGTAACATGAGAAGGAATATAAAATTTTCTTTAGCCTCAGAATATAGCGAGTAAACAATCAACTCCTATCACATTAACAAACAAATTTGAGAAACAAAGACTTCACACCTGTACGAAAGGAAATACAGAATTTCTCAAAAATTCAATAGTACAAAGCATTTAAGAATACTAATTCTGAAGGGTGAGACTGCTCTACGATCACTTTGGAGTCAGCAATCATTTCTGTGTCAGAAGAATATTATTGATACTCCCATCATGAAGCATCCAACTGCTACCCAAGGGCTCAAGCGCTCACCTGCAAGACAAAGCATAGTGGTAAAAATCATCTTGAGAGTTTTCAAGGCAACCCAGTATGTACCGTGATAATTAATGGCAAAGATGATAAGTCAGCAATGAACCTCTAATAGACAATCGTGAAGGAATCTAACTAAACACAACCCCACCCCCACCCCCTCTTTTTTCTCCTGTTTTCCTGTGCATGTAGCGGCCTGGGGGTTGTGGGATGGAAGGGGAGACAAACAATGGGGGAAACAGAAACATATCCACAAGATACTTGAGTCATTCTGAGAAAGTACCAAGTCAAATGTATTTTTATGCTTGCAAAGAAGAAATAGTGACCATACTAGTCTGAATGTTGAATTTTGTATGCCACAATAGATTTAGCTCAATTAGGACCACAGGGGACTTTATTAATTTCTGATTGATTGAATGTAGAACAGCATGAGAAGCAGATGGAAAAGTAACATTCCTAAAAACCTTGTGAACACCAAGCAACTCTAATTACAAGGCAATGCATTTATTCTATGCAAATTGTAACCATAAATTTATTGTCGCCACTCTAATTACTGTCTAGCTGATTTCTTTGTATTTCAAATACTCCATTTCACAATAAAAGCAGGCATTCTAGTTTATAGCAACTACAAGACCACATGAATTATATGAAACATAGATTTGCCAACAACTATTTCCAATAGCAATACCATGCTTGCAATGGTGTCACTCACCTATTCTGGCAGCCTTCCAAAAGAAGCCCCGAAACCTGGAATAGTAACACAACATCAGTACGTTCATTAACATTAAATGAATATGATGACATGACTGAATTGCTGTAATCATGAGATCCAAAGGAAGAAGATAAATGACGTAGTAAAGATATTCGACACATTTTTCAATCCCAAAACATTACACACAGCAATTACACACTGATCTATGTATCCATGCTGTGAAATACATGCACCATTCTGTTAAAAGTAATTTCTTTCATGGAACCCACTGGCTTCAATTGTACACGCACAAATATTGTCCATCAAATATTCAAACAAGACAACTTCCGCCAGAGGCAGAACCCACAATCTCTTAGTCCCTTAGAAATGTTCATAAGCAAAGCTGATTAGTTCTCCCACAATCTGTGATGCAAGCACAAAGATGGCAAAGATACATGCATTTGTAGGCACATTGTTTTTTCCAGAAAACAAGAAGCACCGTATGCAAGACAAATAATACAAATAATATGTAAATTTTATGTCTTGGCATATGAACTAGAATCACTCCAATGAATATGAAAGAACACTCTGCTATAAGTGAATTTATCCAAAAAAAACTGCTATATATTACATTTTCCAAAAGCTTTTCCATGGAACTATTGAACATATGCACATCCATTTGACGACCCTATAGAAAAGCATATTCTCTACCATTAACAAAGGAAAGATTATAGAAACTATACCAAGTATTGATTTCTTATTAACGAAAGTCTTTTCAAACATCTCCTTGTGTAACCATTCTATGAGTTCCATCGTCCACGCGTCATACATCACGCATCAGAAATTTCATATCTTGTCATCCTAACAGCAAAACTTGTAATCAGGCATTCACTATCCGCATGTCAAAATGCGATGTCGAACCTTTTCAAAAAGAATGCAAAAAAGTGCACTGATATTAACTATGAAGTACAGAAATCATGAAATAGTGCCTGGCTCAGCCAAAAAAGAAACAAACTTTAACCAAATATTTCACTGACTAAAAAATTTTGTGATTTGAAACTAAGCAAACAAAATAAACATTAATAAGCAATTTTAGATTGGATAAAATCGTTGAAGCTAAGAAGACTTACCCAGTCCTCTGTTCAAGAAGAGCTGGAAAATGCATCTTTACATAAGTGCAAGTACAAATCCCCAGCAGCACTACCGTAAGAAAAGAGTGGAAATTGAAGAGCGCGGACTGGAAAATTTAGCAATACTAATTTCAGTATCTATTTTAAATTCTAAAAATAGAAATCTGAAATCCTGCAATTTCGAAAAGTAACGCACCATATCCAAATTCTTCCCTTAATACCTTTCTTCCGCGAAAACCTACAAACACAAGAAGCAAAGAATTATCTAATTATTCTACCTCGATTTAACATACGGCGCGAAGAGCAAGGCACTGATTCGTTTTCCAAGCAAGATGTACCAAAAATTTAACAGTCGCAGTTGAAAAGAAAGAAAGAACACATACAAAATGACCGAGATTAGATAAGTGAATATAGAGAGAGAGAGAGAGAGACAATCACAAGGAAGCGATTCAGTGTAACAGTCGAGCGACGATCTCAAAGGGAATGAGAAGATGGCAGCAGTATCGCGAGATGTGCAGATACAGCCGCTGCTGCTGCTTTTTTTTAAAATTATTTTTTTCCTATTATTTATTTATTTCTATTTTGGACAATATACCACTAGCAGAAGGGAACGAAGAGAATAAAAGAGAGAAATGCTCAAGTGTCAGGGACGACTGGAAAATCTAATAGCTCTGCCCACCGTTCATCTGTGCTACCGTTCTGATCATGACGAGAGGCAGGTAAAATTAACCGTTCGATTACCCCTAGTCGCTAGAAGGAAAGAAAAGAGGGAAAGTCTTGCTCTTATTGACCCTTTTGGTTTGCTTTATATCACTTTGCTCCCCAACTTAAAAGTATTAAACAGATTTGCCCCGCTCTAATGGTTTTATTATGATTTGCCCCGGAAGCAATAACTCCTTGGTGGTTTTCATTCTACACAATCACTTGCAGCACATGAGTACATTGTAGGCTTATAACAATTTGAAGCATGCTGCTCAATTGGCTGCAAATTAATGAATTTTGTTACCTAATTTTGAAGAAAAAGATTTTACTACCCATAAATGAATTACTAAAGTTTTTTCCCATAGCTAGGGTACCATATAGCCTTTTCGTTCATAGTTGGCTATAAACAAAAATCATTTGATTTTAATAATTGAAATAAACAATGTGTGAAAAGTAGATAGTATAAGATACTAAAGTACTCCCCAAATTGGTAATGTTAAGAGACAAAGTGCAAATCAGTGCAAGTAACTCTTTTGATTGAAGTGCGGTAATGGTTTATGGCAAAATAGTAGGAAGGACATCGCATACCAGCAAAGATTAAGTTAACTAAGTCGACTGAAAGTGAGTACTCTACTCGGCAACGAAGGAAGGAAGGAAGGATACTGTGTCCCCACAGTGGAGGAGGAGATTACGATCTTCCCCTAGTACAAACATCCCGAAACCAGTGCCAACAATGTATATCACCTTTTAACAAACTGGAAGTTGCTCTCTTCTGCACCTTCTCGACTCCTCCGAGGACCACCTACGAGACTCGAACAGATGTGCAAATCGAAGTTTCTTACACCCTGAGCTGCAGTGCAAACTCATTCTCACAAGTGATTACAATAACTACGATCACCATTAACATCTCAAGAAACAAGTCTAAATAGATTATTCCCATCGCCGAGCACATTCCCAAAAACCGAGTCAATTTATGGAAAAACCAAACAACATCTATAGTCCTAGCTGTAGTTTCTCATCCTTCTAGTAATAATCATTTCTAATTGCTACATGCAAACATGCAGTACGATCAACTTACAAAATCTAAAATTTTCATTAACATTTGTTCTCGGTCCTAGATTTAGAAGAAAATACATGTGAGATCAATACAAAAAATGTCGCTAGTTGCTGGCATGCTACTGACCGATCAATGCAAAGGAAATTGAAATCCGGCCCGTAGAGGCAAAATTTATTGTGTTTCAACTGCCAACCCACTGGAAGGGAAATAGTGGCATCAAAGAATGATATGACACACACAGTAGTATCCATTTTGCACCTATAAGACACCTCACTGTTAAAACCAATCCAGAGTAATTATTCCAGCTGGTACCCGCTTTCGAAGGAAAATCATCAAGCTAGAAGACATAGCTTGACATAAAACTTGAAAAAGCAGTAACATCTATCCAATTAGGAAAAAGGCTTTTCAACTTGGTGGCAGACTCTGTTAAATGCTGATCCAACACAGCAATTTCGACCCTCAAAGATTCTGAACTTCTTGCCTGCAATTAAGACAAAACATAACATGAAGACAGCTCCGTGCTAACTCACATACCATGGTGCATGTTCAAATGTTATCGACAGTTACAAGTGCAATTAATTGTCAACTTGACGATTGTATAGGTAAATTTGGAGCGGATATTTGAAGGTCAAAGTGGAGGAGGAGCAAGATAAAATTAAATTTCAAACACCTGAATATGTACTGCTCATGAACGGTTCAAGCCCTGAAGGAGGATGGTTCAATGGTTTACAGAGTTCTTCTTAACCTGTAAACTTAATTGTGCTTTCGGTAGACTCACCATCCCTTTCAAATTATAGTCTCAACAAAAATTGTACAATCAACTCAAGATGCGCTTCTGGTTTGATAACAAAATCCATCTGACATTGTCTATGGTATTTCCACAAGCTGACAGTAATAACCATAAGCTGCTCAGTCCAGTAACCCTCCTAATTAATACTTTTAGCTCTATTAATCCCAAACTATAAGGGACAAAGAAACATAGACAAACTTCACAAAGAAGCCTCGCACGCCCCATCCCCCACCTGTTCGTGAGCCATACCCTTGACTGACTCACTCCACACTCTTAGCTCGTTCAGGAGCCCTGCCCAGGACTCCTTCACTAAAGGGGAAGTAGCAACAAAGATGGGAGAATGAAATGCAAAACGGTTGAAATTTTACCTCCAACCAAAAGGTCCAGTTCTCATGGCTTGCACCACTTAATCTACATATGTATGATGGTGGTCCATTAGTAACCCTTTCAGGAGCTGTAAACATTTGCACAAGGATCAATATACAGAATCCGACAATCTAAATCCAAATTCAAAAATTAAATATATGTCACCTGGTAGTACACTATTAGCAAATGACCAACTGGATAATGGACCTGTTATGTTGAGCACCGCAACCCATACCTCTTTCAAGGACCTGAAAGCAAAATGGAGATAAATCTAAGTTCTAAGACAAATGCACTAACTTTATTTTTAGGTAGGCAAAAAGAAAACGTATAAGAGTGCCTGCTGCGTCCAGCTCCCAGAATTCGAGAAAAAAAAAAGCAACTAAAAAGTCACAAGTTGGAGCTTCTATGCGACTTGACTTTATTATCAATTATGGTGTAAAAGCAATCCTGATTTTAAAGCACACATGGAGATGACTTCCCATCTTTATCTTTCATTTCCCAAATTTATTGAGCTTGAGTTATTAGAAGGCCAATATCATACAATTCTTAGTGTAATTCAGCTAAGCATAAGTATATACACAGATATATGTCCAGACAGTTTTACACACCATGAAATGTTGTTTTATAATATATATAGAACAAATAACTGCAAACCAGAATGCTGAAGACCTATCAATTAGGCATTTCCGTTCAAGTTCTGCTCATTTGGATGTCAAATCATATACTATGCTAAGAGGGCCGTAAAGTACTGGACTAAGGTAAGGATAATTGGACTAAACAACAGGATAGACTGAATGTAAAATTACAGAACAAACTGTCACATTACTCAGTCAGCATATCAGTGTTTTACCCCAGGTGAAATTCCAAGTAAATTCTGCGGGACCCTCCATCAAGTAGAGCTTGTGGCCTATAAGTTTTTAGATGTGGAAAGTTTCTATATTGCTTCAAGACGTCATCTCTCTCTGCTGAGAACTTCAAACTTCCGGAAAACAAGTAAGATATTGGAAAAGTGCCCTGTTCAACATATTCGAAGTCAAATATTTACTCAATGTCACTCATGGATTCAAAGCAATTGTAATTCACAAATCATCAATAAGAAGTTGTTAGTTGAATAGAACCATGGCAGGACAAACATAATATTAGAAGCTAAAATGAACTTCAGTAATCACATGAACCCCCCCCCCCCGGGCGCCCGGGGCCCAACGTTACTGTTAACAGCTTAGAGGTTAGCTCATACTTTCTACTTGTTACATTTCATGGTCAGAGAAGAGTGGAGAGTTCGATTCATGAATTCCAGCAACTGTCCATGTCATTACAGACCTATAAGTTGTATGATTTTGTCCTCTAGACTAGTATCTCATTTATTTATTTATTTTTTCCCTTTCACCCTTTCTTAGGAGAACTGCATCTAAAGGTTCAAAACATTGTCCTCTCTTGCTGTGCATGTATCTTTGCACCATGTTCATAACTTCTCCTTTATCTCTTTTTGAGGATAAGCAAATTCCAATGAATTGCATATGATTCTATGGTTCAAAGACTGTGTGCCAACTATCCAGAAAAGCAAAATCCTCATTATCACCAATCATGATCAATCAGCATAGAGAAAACAATCTAATAACAGACTTTCAGTTCCATTACACCAGTTGAATATTAAAACAAATTAAACAAGATGGTCTCTGCTCCCAGTTAGCATTCACCAGTCTGCTCTGTAGGCTGGAGGCACAAGCACTAAAAACCTAGCATGAAGCATCTTAAAGCAAAACAAGTCATGAAGCCTAGTCGTATTACAATTCATAGGATACAATATGATTTCGTACCATCAATTATGCCATGCAGACAAAGGGGCTGGAAAATGGTTCTATGTCATGCAGGCCAATAATCAGATAAAATTTACCCGTTTGTCAGAAGAAAGTAAATGCACTCTTAGTCAAAATCATATTGCAGCAGAGGGAAACATATGATACATAAAAGACTTCTTTTTGTACTTACCAGCCAAGTCTCTTGCAGTGACAAATTTGCAGTATCAAAGGATAATTCTGAATCAATATGCAGTTCTCTTGCCACTTCTGGAGCATGTTTAAAGACGAAAAGAAGAGAATTTGAGTCAACCACGGAAAAATCATAACTGCAATCGTCAATATGACTTGCACCTGTTGATGACATTTTTGAAAACCCTGTTAGAATGTTCAACCATATTCATCCTATTTATACATTCAGTACCGTGCCAGAAAGTTTAGAAAAAATTTCAGAATGCTAAATCACAAATTATAACAGTCAGTAGCATGTAAATGAAGCTGTTCAGCAAGCAAATTGAGACACAAAGTACATGCTCTACCCAGCCAACCCCCATCCACAAAAAGTAAAAAAAATAAAAAAAAAATAAAAAAGAAAAAGAGAAAAGGGTCTTTTCATAAGGATTCCACTTAGAATGCATACTCTTATACTGCAACTATTTTCACATATTCAACTGATGTTACTATATCTTTCGAGTACCTTTCAGTCTTTCATACCTGCAGTTCTGATAGTATGCTGGAAGATCACCCTTTTCGGAGCATCTGTGCTGTATGGAAAGAATTGAGATGACAGAGCCAGAGCAAGTATGCTTCCGTGCAGCAAGAATTGCATGATAGATGATCTTGCTAACCATTGGCCAACAACAGGCAAAAGAGGTCCGACGCACCAACCAGTCACAAGTCCAACAACTGCTGCAACTACAATGTCTGCTATAAAATATCCTGGAAACCAAAAACGTTACCAAGTATCTTGAAGGTAAAACATGAAACTCTCAAGGGAGCACTGGCATTTATAACTAAACCTTGCCATACTCACACTGATAACGCTTTTGGAACGTGAAAACTAATTGCAAATAAATATCACATAAGCATCATATTAAAAACCACTTGATACAAAGAAAGAGAAGTGAGCCTAACCATAAGGAGGTGGAAAAGACCCTGTCATTCCCATTTTCTCTATCAAAAATGCAGCAAGGAACCCACCAAAGTAGACTGAGTACAATAAGCAAGGAATTAAAGGAATCACGTAACATGCAGTTGACCTGAAAGAAGAATTTTGTTTGCCCCATTACGCAGAAAATAATTAATCAAAATCAACGTTGAGCTCAAAGATGTCAAGCACAAAATTTGGGTTCATATTGACATCATAATTTGATCCTGTTCAAACTCAAAAACAATCTAAAACAGCATTATGACATATGGGACTCTATCCTAGACATAAAGAAATAATTTTTTTCTCAGGTTAGCATACATCAATAGAGTACCATAAACAGATAAAAATTGTTACCTGAGAGAATCAAAACCAAAGGACCTTGTAGATAGCAGGAAGGAGATCCATGCAGGAAGCATGAAGACTGCCAACAAAAAGGTCAAGAAACCTCCATTTAACCCAGAAATCAGATACCCCTGCTTTCAGAAAATCATGTTGAAAATTAAATTCCTTATAATATGATCATTTACTTTCATTATACAACTCAGAAAGTCATTTGCTTTATGTTTATTTTGCACAAGTGGGTATTCTACATACCATTTTGAACGAGTTTTTTTTTTTTGGGGGGGAGGGGGATGGAGAGAGGGTCGATATACATAACTTGTAGAAGTCAATTAACAACCAAAGAATAGCACAACATATAGGTCTCGCATACCAACGTCATAAAGGAGTACAACCCAAATGCTCCCCAAAACCTTGCTTCACCTGCCAGTTCCTGTAAAAGTATTATCAGTGGACTCATTATGTCCTGAGCACTCAAATTGAAAAATAGATCCTGCAAAGTAAAACTAGGCGACTGTGTAGAACATATGCTAAGCCTCTCTCTCATGTGGTAATCTCAAAAGCTAGAGAAAACATGAATATTAGACCATTACCCAGCTTTTTGTAACACTTTTCCTCCCTGCATATTTTGCAACAAGTACACTTGAAAAAAGGAAAAAGCAATGAATGGTGGATAGGTGTGACTTTAAAATCAGAAATAACGTAAACAAGAAGCTCAGGCACAACAAATCTGATCAGACTTGAAGATAGCCCAGTAACATCAGAAAATGCCCTTCTACCACTAAACTCCAATGTCTTAAATTTCAAATGTGATGTAGAATGAATTTCCATTGGGCTTTCCTTTTTCCCCTTTAGATGAATTCAAATATGACCAAATACATGATTGTTGAATGCACATGAATGAAAAGGCGAGATGTTCACAAGTTAATAGACCAAACAAAATCAGTAACACATTCTGCAGTTATACTAGTTCATAATTTCCACAGATACATACATTTTGTACCAAAATAGCAATGATTTCCATCTAAATTACTCAATTCAACGAAAAAAATCCTCTTTTATTAACATAGTTTCTTTAAATGAATAATCAACATAAACAGAGGTGAGCAGAGTGAAAAATCACAGGGTTCAGTACAAAAAACTTTACCTCTTTTGATGATTTGACTACTGAAACATTTTGAGAGAGAGGAAAATTTCTCCAAAAGAATCGTGGTGCTAACAGACCAAGAAGTGAACACGGTATGAACATCAAAAAGGCCAAGTATGAATTAGAAAACCTACATCAGGAAATGAAAGTTATGTTCTAAAATGCTATATCATATACTAAAGGAAACCAATATGCCAAAAACTACTCTAGTAGCAATACAGTATTAAACCAGTACCAGTTCATTGAATGTCTTGTGAACAGCAATCTCAAGATTGCAAAAACAACTGGAAAAATAATGGCCAGTAGAATCCCTAAAGCATGATGTAGCATTCCTGCAGAGAACAGTGCAGTAATTAAACACAATGGAAGAACAATGTCACCTGCAACAAAGTACCTTCAGGTTCAGCTGCATTCCCATTACCTTTGATAAAGTCAAAGAGAGTCATAAATGAACAGGAAAACACTCTATTTGGAAATCGCAAAAAAATTGGCATAAGTAGGTAGATGGCAAGAGGAATACTATGAAGCATCACAGCCAGCTGTCTTGGATAGATTACCTGAGAAGGATTTTAGAGATCAATTCAAAGAAAGAGTTTATCCTCTTAACAACCCACCTACTAAGGGAAGATAAAATAAAGAAAGAATACATTGAATGGATATGACTGCTGGGTTAACTAAGTTGTACGAAATAATGATATACATGAGTACACAGAGATGAAATCAATAAGAATTATAACGCACCAAAAACCATGACAAGTAGTCAAAGAAAACTGCCCGTTCATCACGATTTGCAGCACGTCTAAGAGATTCCCTTTCACGTGCATTTTGTAGCATAGAGGAGTTAGTGAAGGCTTTAACTACACTAAATAAATTATCCCCACGTGCTTGCATGCTTCCAGGTCTGCTTCACCAAAATAGTATGCACCAGATCAGGCATATGGTAAAGAGAAAGATACTGGCAATCAACTAAGAGAACTTCCAGCAAAATCTACTTCATACAGTAATCTTTCCACAGTATCTGAGGAAGTATGATAAAAGTAACCCCCAAAGAGAAAGATGATGTCCAGTCCAGGAATATCCCCATAATCTTGGGCAAACATTCTGTAATCTGTATCACCAGGTATAGAACCGAAAACATCCTGAAGGTTTATTTGCCCAAAAGAAAAAGTTATAAAGATATCAGCAGGAAACTACAAAAAGATTATTGACCAAAGAAAGAAGGGAAAGTTAAAAAACACCACATGGAGAGTCTAGATAAGCTTTAAAAGTCTCATCTGTTTAAGTGAATGGAATCAGACAGGCAAATGTTAAAACAATACTCCTTTATTCTTTACCAGACCAGAGAGCAGGAGAAGGAAAGTTTCAACAAATTACAGAGAAGTAAAATTGAAAACCTGAGCAGCACTATTAGCCATAGGATAAATAGCTGCTTGAGCATAAATGTATGAAGGCCATGATCCAGGTCCAGATTGGCATACTAGATCTGTTAATTGAGCAATTCAAGTGTAGGTTCAGCTCTAAAGAAATTAACAATATAGGCTCAGCTATGAAAGAAAATGTGTGCCATGCTGGGGGCAAAAACTAAAGGTCTGAACCTCATATATGGCATGTAATTTTGCATACCAGGAAAAAGAAAAAGAAGAAAAAAGCACAGATCAATTAGTTCATCTATAAGCATACATTTCAAAGACAAAACTCTCCATGGTGTCTAACTAAATATGCAAACACCTAATGCCTCAGTTAAAACAGCTTTGGTAAGTTATTCTTGGGGAAGAGTGACCTAAACATGTGAATCAAATACAATGGCAATCTATGTTTTATGTCTTAGTCCATAGAGATGCTTGCAGGAATCCTAAAGCAAACACCATAAGTACATGGAACATTCAGCAATGCTTATATCAATATGGTAATGCACTTCAAATAACATTTAATCTCTCAGATAAGCTGCACAAAGCAGCCACTGATATGTGAATTTCTTATCTTTTCATTAGTAATCCACCGGATCATAACTAAATTGATCCAGAAATATTCTACTATTACTTAATAACTCTACAATTCTCTTTTATTTCTTGCAAATTCACCAAACTCCACCTAGGAAAATTCTGCTTCTTAACACACACTTCATCTATATCCTGTAATCACTCCACCATCAATTTTCAATTACATACTAAGTATGACATTTACAACAGTTTTGGTCCACAGATGGATTGCTTATCATTCATCATGATGACTACATATCTGAGGTTTTTAGTACAGTTTCAAATTCAACTTAAAAAATAAGAATGGAAGCCAGCTCATAGATGATGATGAATCGGTACATGTGATTCTACTTGAGCTAAATGTTACTCTAACTAGAGTTGATCATAGTCAAGTGTGTTAAATTCAACTTAAAAAGTTTCAATAAAGTTGCATATTTTTACAAATAGCAGCTGGTACTTACCAGTTCCACCTGTACCAGAAGCTTCAACATCTATAAAAGCCCCAACAGTATCACGCCATCTATGTGTTGTCATGAAACCATGTGAGCCCTGAATTAGCCATAAAACAGATCATTGGAAGATAGTTTCCGTCAATGTAAATCTACTAATCAACAAGATACAATATGCAATGTCCTGGTACGCTAGAGTTTCTGATGATATGTTTACTGAAGGATTTCATTTCGGTGGTTTGTTTCTTTTTCCCTAGAAGTACTATTGTAAATCTTCAGAACATACCAAACAAGAACGTCAATCAAGAAAAGCCGATCAACTTTTTGTTTCAGGTAGCCAGCCATGTCACATTTCTTACCAGCATAAACAGCTCTTCTGCTCCATTAAATAGAAATATAACTGGTCGAAGAGGAACCCAAGCAGAATCAACACATAGCCGAGCTAGTTCAAGCATAGAAGCTGTTTAGGGAGGAGGAAGAAACAACACAGTAAGATATAAATAATTGATGATCCCATTTAAAACGTAGAATTGTGATATATAAAACCCACCAACACATGAACCACAATCACCAGCTCCAGGAGAACCTGGTGGAGTGTCAAAGTGGCCATTCACCAAAACTGCTGGGTCGTTTTCTCGAGAATCTATAGAAGAAATCCTGCAACTCCATTAAAATGTGTTAAGGTGCCTTAATTCTTGCATTTAAAAAGATGTATCCAGGCATTAATTTAATCAAAGAAATTAAGGTCATAGGCAAGTTGTTAACAAACTTTTGAACAGTGATCCCCACTTAATATTTAAATACAGGCAGAATACAACAGAGTACATCTAAGAAATAATTTTTTTATTAACCTTTTCAAGTCTTTTACACTCAAAGTGGTTCCATCCAAATGTCTTGAGAGTTACTTTTCGAAAAAAAAAAAAAAGTCTTTGATATTTACTTTGAAGTTCTACAAAGCAAAATACTAGACTGTTGTCTTTGTCCATACTTATGGACAGAGTGTGAGGAACTTTTACAACACTCATTGACTACAGCCACCTAACAGCTATTGCTAAATACTGAAGTTCATCATGAAGATCAAGAAAAGTAATCATGCAAAGGATCACAGTGGACGTCACGAAATCAAAGACCTGAACAAGTAATAATTACTTTGTTCAAATAAATTTATCATCACAAAATGCAAGATCGTAAGCTGGTACTTCTCCCAAAACGTGAATATTACAAATTATCTGTGCAAAAGGAGTTTGAGAAGTTAGCACTTCTAGCTATTGGTCTTAGATTGACATCAAAGCAGCCCAAATAGAAGCAAAAGGAGATCATTTTTTACCTCATAAGAATATTGGTGTGATTTCTATAAGCCAGAGATATGCTATGTCCTAAGAAAATCATATTGAACGAACCATCTACTGTTGTTTCTTCAATCTCTATCCTGCAAAAACAGTAGTTCCCAACCAAAAAGTAGAGTTACAAGCTACCCTAAAAGGGTGTCTAAGAGTGTAAAATTTACTCTTAAATACATCAACAAATAAAAGAAGTATAGTGTCAGTAGATACAAACCTAACATTTGGTCCAGCTCTCTCCTTAATCATTTCTAGCTGTGTCTTAATATACAGAGCTGCTTGTCTCAAACCAGGACGCCCTTCCTAGAAATAAGTACATAAATTCGTTTTCTGAAGTACCCCTGATGTAGCTAACTATACAAATATAACGCCAAAAAAAAAAAAAAAATAGCGCATCTATTTCGCAAGTTAACAAAAAGCAAACCAAAAGTTTTTCAAGATGTACTCGTGCATCTATGAATCACCTTTATTTTTCAAAAAAATTTTGAAAACTTCTAGCACATTCTCTAAACCACCCAAAAAAAAAGTGGCGCAGTTTTATTTTTCTGGAAACTGTGCATATACTTGGGGCCAACAAAAGTTAAATTTCATCCTCACGTGTACGGTGTACCATACGAATTGATTTTGTACCGGTAGAGTGGCTCCTGACTTCGGTCTTTTGCTCAAATAAATACAAATAACAAATAAATAAATAAATCAAACCAAAATTCAAATAAGAGACATGGTCGAAAGACGCAATAAATGCATATTCTAGCACGAGAAATAGCGTGTATGGAGTCACACAGCAGTACAGTACGTAGTAATAAATTGCTAATACAGAGAGAGAATTGAGGTGAGGCAAGGGGCAAATAGGTGACCTGGCGACCGCCGATATCTTTAGACAAGACGCGAACGTGCTCCACAGCTCTGGCTTCAGAGAAGCGATCCAGCGGGGCGTCCATACCGAGGGGAGTGATGAACTTCATATGAACGACGGAGTAAACCAACAAAGACATGAGTCCATACATAATTCCCAGACAGCACAAGACTTTGAATCCGGCGACGTCGCGGCGCTTGGCCTGAATAGCGGCATTTTTCCAAGCTTAAAACTGCCAAGTTTTCAGCTATATAAGAGAAAATCCAGGGAGAGATCTCAGTTGCATTTGCACCGGATTTGAGAAGAAGGGCTGGGCTTTGTTCCTTCAGGAAGTGTCTCAAGCGTTCAGGTGATTGGGAAGGCGACCGAATCAGAGTTGAATAGGACAACAGCCTCCATGCATTTTATATATATATATATATATATATATATATATTTGCATACAGGCTCAACGTTGAATACGAGACTACCGGTATGTTTTTCCGGTTTTTCCCCTTGATAGAATTCATTCCAGATTTTGGTTTGCTTTGGTAAGTTGCGTGCTTCTCCGTCCACAGTATCCTACTTCCTATTTTTGAATATCTCAAAATATTTATTTTATTGAAAAAGTTAAAATATTTTTTATTTTTTATTTTTAATATAGCCCTTCCCTTAAACATATATATTACTATTTAAATTTAATATTTAAATTTTTAAGATAAAATTAAAAAAATAAATATAAATATCACAATCAAATCACTGTTTATTAAAAAATTGAATTCTCAAAATAGAATCAAATGAAGGGAGGGAGGGAGTGGTAACTGCCTAACTGGTTTAGGTCGGCTGCGATACTAGTGAGAATATTTCTTTTTCTTTTCCTGATTTTGTTTTTCATTTTTTTTCTTTTAACGATTAGCCCACTCGGAAAGGCTGCACAGTTAACAAAAATTGGACCAGGGACAAGTATGATTAGAATTTTAGTGCAATTGTTCAGTTGTTGACTTGTTGTATATGACTAGGCATTGGACCCCGCGGCTATCGCGGGGTGCCCATATTATAGGTTGTTGAGTGATGAGGAATATAAAATAAAGTAGAAAGAATCATAAATAGAGGGTTATTATTTTGTTGAATATTAGAGTAGTGATTGTAGATTAAGCAAATATGAGATAGTATATGTAAATGTAGAGCGATGTGAAATTGGTATTTATTGTATCTAGTGTAAGAGTGCTAACTGATGGTTTATTTATGAAGAAGATGTTTGTGCAAGAAATAGATTATGAATAGGAAAGCAAAAAGCATGTGTTTTTTTTTTATATATACATCCTAATTTGAGAGTGTACTTAGGTTAATGTAAGATTTATTTAATAACATAGATTTAGAGTATTTTGTATCATAATAGAGTTGGAATAGTGGATAGAGAAGTGATAGATTGGATTGATTCATTTATAAATAGATATAGTAAAATTGGTGTGATTTGTATTGTGTTTTTTAAAATTAATACGATCTACAGATTTGATGGATAATATTGGTTTCAAAAAATTTTGTTTTTTTATTTTAATTTAGTGATAAGTAAATATTATTTAAATTAATGGAATATATATTAATTTTTTAAAGTTGATAGGATGGAAAATTAGGTGGAGAATTGCATTGAGAGTGTTATAATTTATTGTACTTTGGGTGTTGGTAGTTTATGTATTCTAGGATGATGATATTTTCATAATTTGGATAGCTAGGATGAGTAAGTGTGCATTGTTGCAGCAGAAAAGTCTATGGAAAGGATATAAAAGAATGGGAAGTTTGTTGAAAAATAAATGGATAATAGATATTTTTTGGCCAATTTTGATATAGTTTGGGTGTTGTGTGATGAGATAAATTAATAATTTGGAATAATTTGATACTATAGCTTGGTAAAATATGTGTTTATTCATTAAGTAGGTTTTTTTTCTATAAGTAAAGATGATATTGATTTAGTTATGAATAAATGTGATTGAAATAGATGAGAGCTGTATTTTTTTAATTAATAGAATCTGAATAAGTAAAGGATAATATTAATTTTGAGAGCTAATAGATTTTATATTAATAGGTTAGTACTAAATGGATATTATTGAAAGTAAGGTGATGCATATAAATTTTTTTTATAAGAAATGGAAATGATTGCACATGAAAATTATAGAGTTTAATCACTGTAATTTACAGTAGAATTTTTAAATATTTACTGTTTGATGTTTATGCGACTTATTTTATGGTACTCAAAGTTGTAGTGAATTTTGTATTAATATATATATATATAGGTATACGATATATTTTGTAATATGTGTGGATATATATATATATATATATGCGTGTGTGTTTAGTATTTTATTTTAGGAGATATAATGGTTTAATTTTTTATTGTTTATATTTTTTGGGGTTTTGTTTGTTTGTTTGTTATATTTTTATTATTTATTTATTTATACACATGTATATATATATGTATATTTAATATTTTATTTGAGCTTGTAAGATTGTTTAATATTGTTTTATCGTGTCTATCTTTTCTAGTTTTGTTTGTTTGTTATATTTGTGGTGTTACTATTTGTCTTGTGATTCATGTGTCAGTGCGATATTTGTTTTTTGAGTTGTATCATGTATATTTTTGCTATATATATAGGAGTTCGGTTTTAAGTATTTGTATGTAAATTTCTAGTTGTTTGGTTATATTTTTTATAGTTTTAGAGAAAAGTTTGTCTTTTTTATTTTGGTTTTCAGTGCTATATTTTTAAATTTTGAAATATTATCAAAGTAACATTTTTGAAATAGAGGGAAATTATCTTGTATTTTTAAAAACAATTAGTTGTATAATGCAAGCTAATACAAAGTGGCACAATTGATTTATATTTATTAGATACACACAAAATTTTTGTCGATATATATATAATTTTCAGAAAATCAATATTTTTGTCGATATATATATTTTGCTGAAAATAAATATATATAAAAAGGCACACAATTAATCATCACTTTCTATTGACCACATTATGTTATGTTACTCAATCTTAAAATGCAAAAGCTTTAAATTAATAATTTAGTAGTTAACAAATATTATCAAAGTAACATTTTTGAAATAGAGGAAAATTATCCTATATTTTTAAAAACAATTGGTCGTATTAGTGGAAGCTAATACAAAGTGGCACAATTGATTTATATTTATTAGATATGCACAAAATTTTTGTCAATATATATATTTTTCAGAAAATCATTATTTTTGTTGATATATATATTTTGGAGAAAATGAATATATATATATATATATAGATAAAGGCACACAAATAGGATGCAATAATATATATAGATTTGTATAGCCCTAAAAATTCGTGCTGCATTAGGGAATGGAAGGTAGCAACTGGAACAAACAAAACCAAAGAAACAATAATTAAGTGAGATGACATCTAAAGACCACAAGGTACAAAATTGATAGGGAAATTACGAAGAGACCAGCACAAAAGAGGACAAAATCAATACCGAAATTACAAAATAACCGGCGTCCAAGGATAATTGAAGTAGCGGACAAAAGAGGACGTGGAAGGAGAATTGCACCAGCGGACAAAAGAGACAAAATCAACACCGAAATTACAAAATAACCGGCGAAAATCTGTAGCATGCCCTTCGGCGCTTTATTTTTTCAACAGCCTGAATCAGACTTTTGTTGTTTTTATAAACCTAATCCCAGAATTAACCTCAAAAGCCGGCAACTCTTGAGGCAATCCCAGGGACTTATATCCCAACCCAAACCCAACCCCAACCCCGATGTGGGACAAATGTACCTATAGGGGGGACCTGCTGCTAAGTGGGATACTACCACCCAATACCCTTTCAACCCTGAGGCAATTTGTCTTTTTTCAACAGCCTGAATCAGACTTTTGTTGTTTTTATAAACCTAATCCCAGAATTAACCTCAAAAGCCGGCAACTCTTATATATATATATAGATAAAGGCACACAAATAGGATGCAATAATATATATAGATTTGTATAGCCCTAAAAATTCGTGCTGCATTAGGGAATGGAAGGTAGCAACTGGAACAAACAAAACCAAAGAAACAATAATTAAGTGAGATGACATCTAAAGACCACAAGGTACAAAATTGATAGGGAAATTACGAAGAGACCAGCACAAAAGAGGACAAAATCAATACCGAAATTACAAAATAACCGGCGTCCAAGGATAATTGAAGCAGCGGACAAAAGAGGACGTGGAAGGAGAATTGCACCAGCGGACAAAAGAGACAAAATCAACACCGAAATTACAAAATAACCGGCGAAAATCTGTAGCATGCCCTTCGGCGCTTTATTTTTTCAACAGCCTGAATCAGACTTTTGTTGTTTTTATAAACCTAATCCCAGAATTAACCTCAAATACCCTTTCAACCCTTCGGCGCTTTATGTAGTTAGAGATATGGTGTATTCTGCACTCGTATATTATTAAACTTACCAATTTTATATATATACTAACTCAATGTCTGCGTACAATGTACAACACTTACTATTATTGCCAAAATAGTTTTTTTTTATCAATCATCACTTACTATTATTGGCAAAATATTTAATGCATTAGAATTATGACCATGTGATCAGACCCACTACTTGATGATGAAATCTGATTTTGGTGAGGCTGGATTGTACCGTACGGGTAGGATTGAGTTCATAAATAAGAGTACTCAAGGTTCAATCAAGCTTGTATCCTTCGTATAATCATTTGGAAACTCCCAGGAACGCATAAATGGTTTTTGTTGGACCATGAATAGCATGGCCCCAATGCGCGAGTATGGAATTCCAAAGCTGTGGAATCTTTCGAATAAATGTGGAACGGCATATGGTAGTATCATTTTTCTCAAAACGTAAAAGGGAAATCAAGTTGGACGAGTCTCAGCACATGTCGTGTTTTGTAGTAAGTCCCAGCAGATCATTAAATTAATTATTTTTAAACCCATTTAATTAGTGGGTAGTATGTGACTCGACTCACCTATTTATATTTATTTAAAAATAATTACACATTTAAATTTAGGGATGGACAAAATTATCCGCTAATCCGAAAACCTGTCATATCTGATCCGAAAATTAGGATATTCGATTTTTATTATTTGATCGAGTCAAAAGATGGTTGGGTATCTGCTAAGATGCGGGGGGCGGATTA